AGGAGTTGGGTCGGGGGGTCCTGGGTGCCTGGGTTGGGGGGGGACGAGGGTGCCTTTCCTAGGAAAGGGAGCTGGGTGTGGGAGTCCCAGCCTTTCCAGAGGGGAAGAGGGGCTGGATGTCCCTGGGGCATTCAGGATTCACGGGGAGTGGGAAGCGCTGCCAGGGTGAGGGATGGGAAGGTCGGGCCTGGATGCCCAGTGTCCAAGTGGTGCTGGGCCGGGGTGAGGAGGGCCGGACACCTGGGCCCTTGGGGCTGGAGCAGGCGGCAGCGCTGACCCTCCGGGCCTGCAGGAGCGGGTGGCAGAGCTGGAGCGGGAGATCAGCGAGGCCGAGCAGGAGATGGCCCGATGCCTGCGCGAGTACCCGACTCTGCTGCGGCTCCGCATGGCCCTGGACGTGGAGATCGCCGCATACCGGTATGTGGGGGACTCTGGGGGGCCCGAGGCAGGCGCAGGGCTCAGCCCAGCCTGTGTCTCTTGCAGGGAGATGCTGGAGGGGGAAGAGCTGCGCCTGGGCTCCACAGCCCCATCGTGACTGGCCTGCCCTGCTCCGCGTGCTGCGGGGCCTTGGACACCTGGGTCCCCCTAGTCCCTGTACCCGGGGAGCCCTGGACTTCTGCTGGTGCTGCGGGACCCCGAGACTCCCAAGCCAGAGGATCGCTTACCCCTGTGGACCCCTGGGCCCCTGAGACCCTGCCACAGGAGGCCACACACTCTCACCAGCCTCACTGGAGCAGCAGCAGGGCCGGGATCCAGGCCCGGCCCTGCGGAAGCAGCTCAATAAAAGCCCCTTGGCATTACCTGGAACCAGGCAGTCTGTGGTTATGAGGCCGGCCTTCCCACGGGGCCCTGCGCTCTGAGGGCAAGGGAGCCGAGGCCAGGGCTGGCCTGGGGGCACAGGGGCTGCTGGCTGTGTCAAGCAGCAGTATTGCTTCAGCCATGGGGCGTTCTGTGCCCACAGTGAGCAGCCTGGGGGACAGTTTGGGGGTTCCTGGGGAATGGGGGGGTCCAAGGTGCACAGCTCTGCACCGGGGTCCGATGCAGGTGGACAGGCAGGCGCCTCCAGCAGCCCCGCTGGGACCCTCCCTCCTGCACATGCAGAGCCTCAGCTGCTCTTCCGCAGCAAAGCCAAGGTGGGATCTTTATTGGGACATACAGATGTGCCTCAAAGCAAAAGGGATTCAGGGCCAGGAGCGAGTCCACGCTGCCGCCCCGCTCCCGTGGGCTCTGGGCCGGGACCCCTGGCGAGCAGCGGAGGGAGGTCAGTGGCCCTGTGGCCCGGCTGCCCCCACGTCCCGCCAGGCGCTCCAGGGGCTCCACCTGGGGCTGGCGTAGGGGTCGCGGCAGCTGATGCGCACGCGCCAGGCGCCCGCCCGCAGGCTGCTCTCCTCCGCGCCCTCCAGCTCCTCCTGCACCTGCGAGGCAGAGCCGCTGTGGGGCCGGCACTGGTGCCTGCGTGGGCCCCGGTGGAGAGTGGGGGGCAAGTTTCCAGGGAGGGTGGGAAGGGAGGGACTGGGGCCGGAACAGGAACTGGGGCTGAAGCAGGGAGTGGGAATGGGGCAGGGAGTGGGGATGGAGCAGGGAGCAAGGCCGGAGCTGGGATCTGGATGCTGCCCAGCAAAGCGGCTCTGCAGGGAAGCAGCGGTGAGGACTGTGGCCACGGTTTCCTGCCCCAAGGGAGTGCGGAGGGGAAGCGGTCCCTGCGCATGGAGCGGGACGCAGTTCCTAAATGACAGCCCTGTGCAGGCGGAAAGGTCCCGGCTGCGGTGGCCTTTACTAAAGGACAAACCTCTGAGTCAGACGGGACAAAAATAAACCCAAGTAAAAGTGAAGGCAGCACAGGGCAGTCATAGACACTGAGGGCACAGAGCATGGGGAGGACATGGCAGGGCCAGCATGGGGGAACAGGGGTACAGGGCCGTGTGGGTATGGGGCAGCATGGGAATGGGATAGTCCAGGAGTGGGGCAGTGCAGGCATGGGGCAATGCAGGTATAGGGCAGTGCAGGTGCATGGCACCATGGGTATGGGGTAATGCAGGCACGGGGCAGCACTGGTGTGGGGCAGTGAGGGCATGGGGTGATGTAGATCATGGAGAGTGGAGGCATGGGGCAATGAGGCAGGCACAGGGCAGCGTGGGCATGGGGCAGCATGGACATAGGGCAGCGCAGGCGTGGGGCAGTGTGGGCATGGGGCGGCATATGCACAGGGCAGCGTGGACATAGGGCAGTGTGGGTACAGGGCAGCATGGGCATGGGGCAGCGTGATTGGGCTGGTGTGGGGGGCTTCATGTGGAGCTACCTGGGTGCCGTTGGGGAATTCGTACTGCAGTCGGTAGGAGAGAGCGAAGTAGGACTTGGGCAGCGGCCAGGAGGCCGGGGGGGCCCAGGACAGGTAGAGCCTCCCCTCCTGGTGATGCAGCTTCAGCGCCTGCGGTGGGTCGGGCCGCATTGTCGGTGCAGCGCGGCAGGGACGTCAGCCAGGGCTGGCCCTGCAGCCTGGCCCATGCTGTGGGGCTGGCAGCACCCGTAGGGCTGCCCCTTGCGCCCCCTCTCAGGGCCGCCC